ATTAGCGCGGCGGGCGGGCGGGCGGCACCGTCCCGTGCCCTCTCCACCCTGACCCCTCCCCGTGACCTTGGAGGCCCGGGGCAGCCGCCGGCACGGTGGTTCACTAGAGCTGGTGGTGGTGGTGGTGGCGGGTGCACGGGCTTCCCTCACAGCCCCAGAACCGGGCTCTGGCGAAGAGGTCAGCCGGCAGTTAATTAGAGTTGGGAAGGCGATGCCTAAAGACACTTCCCAGTTCGCTTCCCTTCGGTTTTGCCCAGGCAGCCAAGCTAGGACCCCAGAGCTGGCCTGGATGGATTCCGAAAGCAGAGGCGACGTTATCTGGTCCACCAGCCATGTGCTAAGACTTGGGAGTATGAGGTGGCTTCGTGGAACCTCCAGCAGCTGGGTGGTTAATGGGATGGTGAAATCAGGGAGGATGTGGGGGGTGCGGTGGTGGATTTGGCTATCAGTGGATGGAGACCAGGAGCTGGGCCGCAAAGACAAAAACTGGTGTGGAAAGGGGACAGGGTTTGCAGCTCCCTTGAAGGGCCTGGGCCTCTGCTGTGTCACTCCAGGGCTGAGAGACCCTTCCTGCCCCACCCTGTCATGCTCTTGCCCAGGAAACCAAGGACCAGTTATCCATCCTGAGCTCCCTTCCCCTTGGTCTGGGGGAGAAACCGCAGAGCCCCTTGGTGGGGGCTGGTGTTGCTACCCCCTCCATTCCGGTGATGTCGCCGCTGGCCTGGCCGTGCTATAGGTTTGGTGCAGAATGGCGGCCACAGCCCCACTGCTGGGCTGGGCTCCTCAAAGTGGGAGGGATGGTGGGAGGGTCACACTGCCGGCTCCCACTCTTAGCAACTCAGAGCCTGCTGCCAGCCCCAATCCACCAATGGCATGACATCTTGAGAATCTAGGTCTAAATTCTGCTTTTTTGGGGGGGTGGGGTGGGGGGGGGAGCGGGATACACAACTCTTCACTCTGAGTGTGGCAAGGGAGGCCCTGACATCGGTCCACTAGTGTGGTGTGGGCTCTAGTGTGGTGGGGTTGTTTTGGCTCCTGAAGGTCTTGTCCTCCTTGGATCTTGATGCCCACAGGTCTTGGCGTTTCGGACCTTAACCCCATCCTGACTCCACCTGGTTGTTCAGAATCTCCCCCTTAGAGTTGGGGGAGGGTGACAGGGTTGCTGGTGTGTGGGGCCTCTGCTTGGCCTTCCGGTGGGCTGAAATTGAGGGAGAAAAGCTGTCTCCTCCAAAGCTGGACAAGGACCCAGAATGCCACTTCTGCTAGAGGGTTGACTTAAGCAGG